TTAGGTTGTCACTCCATCTAGATATGCTATGTTATTCATTTTTTTATTTATTCTTTATTACAATCGTACTATAAATAAAGTTTACAATGGACAGACTTAATGTCTCATGGCATTCTCTACTATTGCCGTGGTAGCTCAGAAGGTTAACGCTCGCTGTAAATATAACAGAACGCGAGTAACCCGGGTTCGATCCCCGCCGGCACCAATGAAATTGTTAATTGCAATTTTAAGTGCTGATTTACCGCGTGCTCGGCGGTGAAGGAAAACATCGTGAGGAAACCTGCATGTCTGAGGAATAAGAGAAAAAAATATTTCGAAGATATGTGAACAAGCGCGGCGGACACTTCCTTGCACTAATGCCCTCCCAGTAATGAGGGAAGGCCTGTGCTCAGCAGTGGAACGTATATAGGCTGTAACTTTACTTTTTTATTCTCTTCTATTCAACCCTGGAATAAATACAATGATTTTGAATTAATTCATTGTATTTAATACTTTATTGTGTAGCCTGCTAAATGTCTAATTATACCTTCCCCATAAGTAAACAAAATAAAATATAAAGACATCCAAAATTTTAGGGGCGTAAAGTTGCAAGCTCTTGAACTTAAGGCTAAATCATCTTACATTGATCCTTTTACCAATTTGCATTTTCCACTTACAGTACATGATACGAAAATCCGGTTTGACAAACCCGATTTTATATCCGTATGCGCCTAGGTGAACCTTATATTTTTATGATAATCATAGGTACGTACATATGTATTTTCAAAGTATAAAGGAAAATTTATAGTTTCTTTAAGAACTACTCAATGTGCATAAATGTTCGAAAAGGAAGATTATACTTGTTTTAAAATATAGTAATATATGTATAACAACAATTATTTATACATATATCAATATTACATAACTGTCCTTGTGATTGATTAAAACTACTGTTACGGATTTTATCGCGTTTAATGTGATGTGAAACGATTTTTAATTCCCGACGATTCGGTGCTTTCCAGCACCCATGGTCACGGGGGACTGAGGTGACTAACGTCCCGATGTCAATGTTAACCCGGAGTACCCTTAGATTTTTAATTATTGTTTATGGTGCATCATAAGCGTTATGTGATATTTTAAAACTATTGTGATATTTTAAAATTAAGCATATTTTTAAATTTAGAATGATGAAAATAGTTTAAGTTACTTTGTACTTTAAACACTACAAATAGTTGAGTTTAATATGAAATTGCAAAATGGGAATTACAATTCTTCCATCTTTTTATAAACTGCATTAGACTGATGTTATTATTTTTTAAATTGTTCAATAATGTAATATTACTTAATAAATTCAAACAACCTTTAATTTATGACACAAAAGATGAAATTAAATGTTCATTCCGATGAAACTTCAAGTGGCAATAACAATATGTAATTCAATGATCTAGAAAAATACCTTTTACCTTACGATAAAGGGTTTCATAGATATGGGTTTTCCATTAGATAAATAGCCCGAGTGTTCGTGTTTGTGTGGAGATATCAACAATGTTGAAACTTATGTGTGCGTATCCTTTGAAAAGGACACAAGACAAATGGATTCAATCGTTATAGATCGGTTGCCGTGAGGCAGGATATAGACCGGAACACTGGCAGACCCTAAAGGCGTATATATACTGTGAACAAAAACTTTGCAAAACTACTATAGATAAAGGGTCACTTTATTTATATTGCATTTGTTTTATTCGTGTATGACTGTATGTACTTTTACTTCTTTTTTCAAGATCGTGTATGTACTGTGCTCTCAGTTTTATGAAAGTGACCGAGTCACGCCGTAGCTAAATTATGGTAAAAGCATGATCGGGTCGGCTCGAACGGGGAACCTTCTTACAGCATATCAGTGTAAAATAGCAGCTTAATGTAGCTGTGTTTTGTATGGTGAGTGTAGAAGAGAATTGGAGATCCTTTTTACTTGTAATGAGGAATTCTGTCTTAGTCTTCAGGGGTGATAACGCATCTATATCTTGATTATTAATCCACCACTTACGATCAGGTGGAATGTAAGCACGCTTGTTATACTTACTTCCTTAAAAACATGGCGCGGAGCTGATAAAATTTCACCGGTCATGCCGCTTCCTGTCATCAATTTATTGAATTTGAAGGGGCCACATATCTCACTTATTATCGAATGGATTGTGAACGTATCTCACCCTTATTTGTTTAAAAACATGTAAGATATTATTTTTGAACTATTTGTTGCTTGTGTAAAAAATTGGGTCACACAGTCGGTGTGCGGGTTGTTATGCAGTTATTTTACGCTTGCCACGTTGGTCCGGTGGCCGATAACGTGACTGATGATCATGTGTTCCCAGGTTCGAATTCTAGATTGGCCTGGAATCAGTTGGGGTTTTCTGTCAAGAGATTCTCAGTAACGGCCCGCAGTCAGTATGGCGAAGTTTCACCCAGTACATCAGAGAGGACCTAAAGCCGTTGGCCGCGCGATTGGTCTCTCACCGGTCGTGTCGGACTGCTGTCTTATCGAACTACTAGTGTTAGAATAACAAGTGTAAACGTGCAATATCCTGTTCTACGGAGATCACTAATCTTCGTGTTGAGACTGGTCGTCGCGACCGTAATTCGATCTGGTAACATCATCATTTTATGCTGGTGTCCTACATAAGCTTGGTTATCACCTGTTGAACAACTTCAATTTCTTTTCTTCAAAAAATATTTTTTTTATTTAAAAAGAATATTAACAATGCTATGAACATTACTAATATTCCCCTTAAACACTCGTGGTAAGCTTAAATTGCTTGTGTTACGAGTGGTTCATGCCAGTAGTCGAATTGTGGATTCGAACCCACGACCTTTTTGAGTTCGCGGTCCGCGCCCTGCCATTAGGCTATTGTCGCTTCAATTGAGCCTTGGCCTGTTATATTTTAGTTTCATTATTATTCTGATTAAATGTTTCACACATTTCAAACGAAATCCCTTGCGATCGTTTTACGAACTCTATTCGAAGTTGGTAGTTGGTACCCTAGAGTTAAACAGTCAATTTCCGACGTCAACCGATCATCATCAAATGATTGGTTGACGTCGGAAACTGATATCGTTTACTTTTTGAGTAGTAATTGCATTATAATAGTATTCTTAACTAAAATAATCTTCGTATTACATGTATGTTACATCAGTAAAATAATTTTTTTTGGAAAATTTAATTTGAAACAGTTGATAGTTATGATTTCTTATATTTTCGCGAACACTATACATTGATTAAAACTACTTTTACGAATTTTATGGCGTTTTTTTTAATACCCAACGTTTCGGGTGCTTTCCAGCCACCATGGTCACGGGGGACTGAGGTGACTGACGTCCTGATGTCAAAGTTAACCCGGAGTACCTTCAGCTTTTTAATTATTGTCTTTGGTCCGATCTACGCAGAATGAACTAAGTGTGTTTTGAAGTCTTGCAGTGGTATGCTTGGGTTTAGTTTTAATTTTATTAATTATAGGATCCCATGCAGGTGGTAGTACTCAGTCTCCTTCTCTATTGAAATTAGGATGTTTTTTTAATTTCAATAGCCTCCCGTATCATCCTTGGTAGGAATCGATGTTCTTTCGCGAGGATTTGTTGTCTATCAAATCTGATGTAATGGTTGGGGCCATCTGGGATATGATCACAGTTTATAGTTATATTATAGAAAGAAAATACATATTTATTACTTTTATATCATTCTATTGTTTTGTGCGCGCACTACGTGAATACGACGAGACCAGCAGGACTATTATCAACAGATTGAAATTTTATAATCAAATTGATTCGAACTTAATATAATTCGTGCTCATGAAACCGGAGAAACCTCAGGAAACCTCAAATTGGTATCAACTTCGATCGAGTATTTCGTTAACATCGAAAAATTCATTCTTCTCGTTGATCTAGTAGTTGTCAATCGAATAGAAAAATCGAAATTAACCAAATTTACAATAATCTTAGACCCTTACAACTTTGACTTTGTTATAGAATTTTTTAAATTAAAAATGACCTCATAGTTTCTTGCTGGCTCTTCTTATTTTTGAATTGTTTACAAAAATTAAAGAAGTTTTGGCTTTGAGACAATTGAGGTTAATCTTTTCGTATAACCAGTCAACACTGTATGATTTGGTTAGGAGTAAGAATGACTTTTTTGAAAGTTGTTGTTGTAACCTAAAATTTTTCGGGAGGACATCATCACCATTTTTATCATTTTCCTTAACAATCTTATTCGTCAATATTTATGTGGAATATTTCATATCGTAATTTATGTGAAAGAAGTTTTAGGCATTCAATAGTTAAATAATACACAAAACATAAAAAAACATGTAGAATTACCGCTTTACTTCGAGTATAGAAAATGTTTCACCAAATACACAATAGAAATATTAAATTTATAATTGGTTTTCTCGCAATAATGCCTTGAATAATATGGTAGGATTGAAATCAATTAAAAAAAAAACTACTAATACGATTAGAAATTGTCAAAAAAAAAACTTAACTTATAATTAATTAATTAATTTATAAATAAACATAAATATACACGTTTTTACGTGGTAGAGACATGCTGCAGCTATATTAGCAGTATAGTTGTAGCCCGAATGGGTCGGTTCGACCGGGGAACGACCACGCTCTCACAGAATACCAGCTTAACGCTGCAAGTTTCGTATGGTGAGTGTAGAGAACTGGAAAACAGGTATTCCATCTAAGTTCTCACGGGTAACAACGCATTTACATTTTCATTCGTAATCGAGGATAGATGTAAATGTCTATGGGCTACAGTAACCACTTACCATCAGTTGGACTGTGTGCTTGTTTGTCACCCTTACCCTATAAAAAAATAGACACTGGGCTTGTAGAATCTGTGTGCGCTCCGTTCGAGCGTGCACAGGGATGAAGCATTCAACGTGCAAGACAAATCAAAATGGCGACTAATCAAGTTGTTTACTATTGATACACATTCATGTGCTACTTCGTAATATACCTAAACTTACCTGGCACTGTTGTGGTCCCTGACGGTTGGGGGATGCGGGCTTTGGGCGAACCTTCTTAACAGAGAGGGGCCGAGAATCCAGGCCCGTCACCGCAACTGACACAGTCGCGATGCCGCCCAAGATACTTGATGAGGATGACGTCGTGCAATCTGCAACAAGTATGAACAGTAGTTTAATAACCTTTGTTGTTTAATAACTATACCTGCTGGCGCTAGGAAGTGACAGACGACCCTACAGTACTCTTGATGGTAAATGACTACTGTAGTTCATGAACATTTGCTAACCAACTTCAAACAAAGAAAACTAAACATGCGTTGTCACTCGAGGACTAAGATGGAGTGCCTCATAGCCTGCTCTTTAAATCCTTCAGACCAAAACACAGAAGTGCACGCACTGTCGTCCATAACTTAACAGTAAGTAGGTAGTAGGTCTTGGCTCGGCATCCGGCTCTGTGGCGCAGTGGCTTAGCAATGAGTGGCTGGGGTGTGGAGCCGCGGGTTCGAATCTCGCACGGAACAAGTATTTGTATGGCCTACAAATAATTGTTCCGGGTCTGGATGTTTGTCCTTGAGCAATTTATGTTTGTAAACTGCCTCCACAATACAGGAGAAAATCCTAGTTCGGGGGTAATGTTTTATAAACAAAGAAAAAAAAATTTAAAAAAATCCCCTCGTGGGTCCACGCATTCGATCCACTCTGACGTAAATGCTTCTTAATGCCGCACCTAAGGGGTGAGTGTTACAAGTTTACAGAAGGAAAATAATGTAATATTTTTATTGTATATTGAATGATGAAAATTTATCGAGTTCGAGACATAAAAATCACCCGATTTTTTTTAGACATATACCATCTTATTCATGGATTCTGTTTACAATCTATACATTATAATATGTATAGGTATATTATGTTTATTATATAAACACATATGTTACATATATATATATATATATATATATATATATATATATATATATATATATATATATATATATATATATATATATGTATATATATCATATAACATTGGAGTGTCTATCTGTATGTCTATCTGTCTGTCTGATCAGATTGACTGAACCAATTGTAAAGAAACTTGACGAACAGATACAGATCAGTGTAAGGAGTGATCTTAATTATATTTTTTTTTTGAAAAAACTTGGGGTCTTTAATATTAAAAATATAAGTATTAATAAAATAATTTATAGCACGGGACACTAGTGCAAGTACAGCCACTTGGCGGCTTAAATATGAAAGTAAGGAAGTGGTACGAGTATGCACCCAGAGGGACTCTTAACGGAAATAAGTCCTACAACCTATAGTGTAGTTTATTTCTTATTACTGTTATAAAATAAATACAAATAGCTAGTTTTGGTTGAAGTGGGAGTCAGAGTTCATATTTATCAGAGAGCATATTGCTATCATGAGCAAAAAGGGCATATGTTACATATTAAGATGAGATACTTTTATTTTGGTATCATTAAAAAAGTTCGCTTTAAATACTGTTTTTACACCTCCCTTCAGATTATATTACTTTTAGCTTAGATCATGTTAACTTTTTATAGAATGAGGGTGACAAACGAGCACACAGTCCACCTGATGGTAAGCGGATGCTGTGGCGGCTGCTTTATCCTCGATTTAGAATCAAAACGCAGATGCGATGTCATCCCTGAGGAATAAGATGGAATGCCTCGTTTCCAGTAAAAAAGATCTCCGGATCTCTACACTCACCATACGAAACACAGCAGCATTCATACGAAACACAGCAGCATTAAATTGCTATTTTATACTGGTATTCTGTGAGAGCGTGGTCCTTCTCGGTCCCATTCATACAACCTTAAAGCTGTGCTTGCATGCATACGACGCTTTCACAGCATACAAGCGTAAAATAGCAGCATGATGTTGCTTTGTTTCGTATGGTTAGTGCAAATAAACCCTTTTACTGTAAAAAGGCATTCTATCTCAGTCCTAAGAGGTGATAGGACATTTTGATTCTTAATCCAGGTTAGATGAGCTACAGCATCCACATCGTCATCCTTTTTCTATAAAAATAATTAGTCAAAGATATTTGCGATCATTAAATTGCGAGTAACACTGGAAATCACAACACTGTGTTTTTGTATCCATATAAATGTCGGTTCATCGAGGCGGTGAACACAACATGGTGTAACATGAATATGTAGTACGTACGTGTTTGTCCAAGTCGTGTCCGGAGCTTAACATGTACGTAGCTTACGCCTAGTACAATTATAGCGTCTAATCCTTAAGTTTTATATAACTAAGTTAAAGCTTAAATCTTAATATATATATATATATATATATATATATATATATATATATATATATATATATTACGTGTCACGTTGTTTGTCCGCGATGGACTCCTAAACTACTAAACCACTTTTAATGAAATTTGCACACCGTGTGCAGTTTGGTCCAACTTTTTTTTTGCTAATTTAAGGATTTTTAACACTAGAGTGCACGCCCCCTTAAATACTCCTTGAGCGCACGCGCGGGCTACATGTGTAGACCAGTTGCGGATCAATTATTTCTCTGAATAAGACAAAACAATGAGTAAAACACAGCATATAGTTACTAAACGTCTTTATTTTTATCAAATTGGTTTATAAAATCAACAAAATTTTGATTCCTTAATATAATTTGAAACTTAAACGTAAACCTCTTATAAATCAACAAATATTTGGAAGGGAATCAACAAATATTTATATCTCTAAGTCTTATTTTCATTTAAGAACATAATATTTATCATTTAAGGCATTTATTTGGCCTAATTGAGTCTATAATCAAAGTAACGGGTAAAAAATCAGTCTATTGGCTTACATTGAGGACACACGATCACAAATACGCCTCATACATTTGCTGCATTGTTAGCGCGTGCTACGGTCACGACTCGGTAAGCACACGATCCAAAGGCATATTTTGTTGTAGGGGTTGTTCTGCCAATCTTAGAAGTAGTCTGCCTTTCAGTTTAATACCTCTGGGTATATTTTGTTGGGATATACGACGCTCAATAGAAGGTCGTGCAAGATCAAATTTAACATATAGGAGGTATTGACAACGGATCAATTCCGTTTGATGGTTGTTCATCTGATATATCACCAAACTATTTATGCCCGCCATGTTTAAAAAATTGTATAATATCGTGAGTGGCCATCGGTTACTGTTGCGAGAAACGTCATATTGTCTACACACTTTATCAAAAATATCAAACGCCGTATTTACGTGATTATAAAATGTGATGATTTCAGGTTTTCTATCATCGCCAGTCGCAGCATCAATTTTGTCATCATTGTGGAGGGTAGACAATAACAATACCCGCTCCAAATGTCGTCGTATTCATTATCCTCCAGCAGCCATCTTTGTATTTAGTCGCACAATCTGATCGAGTTACTCGTCACCTAAAAAAGTGAACAAAACAGTATAAAGCTACATGAAAAATCTACAAATACCAACAACAAACACTTAAAAATTAATTAACTGTACATTTTGTAGTAATACTGCAAGAAATGTGTCATATTTACCTCAATTTCACCACTTGCACACTAAACACTTATTTTCCTCCAACGCTCGCGCGGGCTACAGGCGTAGCCCACCAACTTCAAGGACGATTTTTGCGGACATCCTTGAGCCACGGGAGTCGGCACGCTGCTGGCGGTAGCGGGGGGTAATACTTGAGGAATACACCTAGACAATTGCGCTATAGTGCAGCAAGTTAAAATGATATACGACAATATTACACGCTGGGTTACATATGTAGCCCGCGCGTGCACTCTAGTGTTAATAGAACATGACAAAGGGTTGTCGAAAAGGGCAGAACGACGTCGGTCTGGCAAGCTAGTTTTATATAAAATAAGGTTTCGTTAGAAAACAAATAAACAGTTTAATAATAAATATAATCCATGGGTATTAACCGTGTAGTGGCGGTGTAAGAATATTTACTGCCTCATATTGTACCGTCGGCGTCGAAACAGCTGACAGTGGGAAACAAACAAAGAGATGGTCAGCAACATGTTCTTAATAATAACTGGAAAATAAAAAGAACTGCGGTTGCCAACGCGCCTGATAAGCGTGGCAACTATGGCAAAATCCCCCCTATGAGGCAATTATGGAGTAGGCATATGTTTAGCAGTGCTTTTGTAGGCTGTAATGAAAAACGGGTGGGTATAACTAGATTGACTTTTTACATTTACGCGAACACTTCACATTAAACAAAATTAATTTTTCGAGTTTTGTCGCGTTTAATAACTATCAAAATTAAATTCAAACCCAAGCATACCTCTGCAAGATTTCACGATACTCAATCTGCGTAAATTGGATAAAAAATTAATATTCGAAAACTGAAGGTAGCCGAGCCAACTCTGACATCGGGACTTCAAATACCTCAGTGACCTCTGTGATCATGGGTCATAAAGTATCCAAAAAAATAGGGAATTAAAAAGTAAAAAAAATACTGTTAAACCTTACAGGCCATACCTGCATCTTTACGCCAATTTCAAATGCAAAGCGCTTCAAATTAATTTCGAAGCAGTTTGCAGCAATTGACGCTGTTTTTTTGAGTAGAAGAGCTGATTAGATTATAGAATTGATCAAAACAATGCTGTCTAAATAATTAAAAAAATACAATTTTTGAATATTATAAAACTTGAATTTTGAAGTTTTTCAGAATCTACCGCGCCTATTCGGTCTAATTCACAGGGAATTTAAGTTCAGCTAGGCCCTTTTAGACGCTCCAAACCTCTTTTCGATCAGATACTCCATTACAAACTTATGAGATGTCTACATGTTTACACACACACACACACACACACACACACACACACACACACACACACACACACACACACACACACACGCACACGCACACGCACACGCACACGCACACGCACACGCACACGCACACGCACACGCACACGCACACGCACACGCACACGCACACGCACACGCACACGCACACGCACACGCACACGCACACGCACACGCACACGCACACGCACACGCACACGCACACGCACACGCACACGCACACGCACACGCACACGCACACGCACACGCACACGCACACGCACACGCACACGCACACGCACACGCACACGCACACGCACACGCACACGCACACGCACACGCACACGCACAC